AACGTGTGGCGCAATTTTCGTTTTTGCAAGTCGGTGCACTCGACACGTGTTTGCGTTGTGGACGTGGGAGGGGGTACGTGGGAGGGGGTACGTGGGAGTGGACGTGGGAGGGAGGGGGGACTTTAACATTATAATTAATTTTTTTTTAATACCGTGTTGCCCCGAAAATAGGACACCGTCTTATATTTTCTTTGGCTCAAAAAAAAACACACTAGGTCTTATTTTCGGGGTAGGTCTTTTTTTTTTATTCAATCCACGCTTATTCATGTAGAAAAGTCTACATGTATTCATGTACAAAAATATGGTGATCGGGGCAATCAGAGGTGCCGTACCTGTCCCAGAGCAATTTGCTAACCAATCGCTGGCCAAAATGAGTGAAGCGCACTTTCACTATCAATTCATCATAGGCGGAGTGCATTTGGTATCACTCCGCCTGTGACAGGAGTCGGCTCTATAGAGGAGGCATCGGCTCCTCTAGCGCTGGCACCGCTGATTCTCTCCTGCGGCTCTTCAAGTTCCCCCTTGTGCCACCACCGGCCCTGGGAATGGACACAACTAGGTCTTATTTTCGGGGTAGGTCTTATATTTTAGCAATTCCCAGAAATAGCACTAGGTCTTATTTTCAGGGAAACAGGGTATATGCAACTTTCATTTTACACTCAACTTTGTTGCTATCACATAGGGGTCTAACAAGCCCTCGATGCAATAGGAAATAGGATGTGACAGGCCCTTTTTATAGAGATAATCAGGGGTCTTTCAGACTGCTAATGTCACCTAGGGACCCCAAAGAAGCTGATGAAGCAGAGATCTGCTTCCCCAGCTTCTTCTCTTGGCTCTAAAGGCCAGAGAATGTGCCCAGTGACACTGGAAGTGATGTAATACACATCACTTCCAGGTCCAGTGATCGGAGGAGAGATCAGCAGCTCGAAGCCTGCTGATCTCCCTCTGATCTGTCAGTGGCGACCCACTGTGCCGGTCCCAGGCCCCGCAAGGGATACAGCGAAGCCTGGGGAAGCCAGCGGGGGGGGGGGAGAAAACACAGAGTGCCGCACTGTACACTCGTCGGATCGCTTGCACATAAAGAGCACCTGCTGTTTAAAACTTTACGAAGAAACAATACAAAGAAAACGGCTACAGCAGCAGCATTCTTAGTACAACCACTTCAAGTGGATAACATGTATTTACGTGAACCTGCATGAAGTGGTTAATATACTACAAAAGCTGGAACACATAGGCAGTTCTTGGAGTTTTTTTTTGCAAATTGTGATGTAAAAGGTGAAATAACCCTTTAAAGTGGCAACCCCCTCCACTTGACACTGTCATCCCATTCTGTCTTCCATATATGTTAACGAAGCCTGTAGCTTGTGTGGGATATGTGAGAGTTCCTCTTTAAGCCTGCAATATTTGTATGAATGTCTTGTCATATGAAATGTTTGGAATGACAACGTTGTCTTTACCAAGGACAATGTGGCTACTAATCATTGTAGCTACCTTTAAGCAGTTTTTTTAGCATCTTTTAAATGCCAATGATTAAAAATGATCCGACAAAGTAAAGTCTAGGGCTGCAGCTAACGATTATTTTCATAATCGATTAGTTGGCTGATTATTAAGTTTGATTAAATCGGTTAATCGGATAAAAAAAGAGAAAAAAAAGGCTCTCACCCCCACACACCTCTTCCACTACTGCACCCATACACCTGTACCACCACAGCACCCCCAAACACGTATTCCACACTGCCCCTCCATACCCCTTTTCCACCACCACAACCCCGCACACCTGTTCCACCACTGCACCCCCATACACCTGTTCCACCACTGCACCCCCATACCCCTATTCCACCCCCATACACCTGTTCCACCACTGCACCCCCATACCCCTATTCCACCCCCATACACCTGTTCCACCACTGCACCCCCATACCCCTATTCCACCCCCATACACCTGTTCCACCACTGCACCCCCATACCCCTATTCCACCCCCATACACCTGTTCCACCACTGCACCCCCATACCCCTATTCCACCCCCATACACCTGTTCCACCACTGCACCCCCATACCCCTATTCCACCCCCATACACCTGTTCCACCACTGCACCCCCATACCCCTATTCCACCCCCATACACCTGTTCCACCACTGCACCCCCATACCCCTATTCCACCCCCATACACCTGTTCCACCACTGCACCCCCATACCCCTATTCCACCCCCATACACCTGTTCCACCACTGCACCCCCATACCCCTATTCCACCCCCATACACCTGTTCCACCACTGCACCCCCATACCCCTATTCCACCCCCATACACCTGTTCCACCACTGCACCCCCATACCCCTATTCCACCCCCATACACCTGTTCCACCACTGCACCCCCATACCCCTATTCCACCACTGCCTCGCCACACTGCACACCTGTTCCACACTGCAGCTCCGTACAGTATTCCACCACTGACTTGCTTTCAGAAGGTGGGCCCTCGATTGTCAGCGGGCCAGCGACGGGAGAGGGAGATCGCGCCGAGGAGAGCAGCGGTGTGCCCGGCTTCAGCGTGCACGGCGGCCGCAACGGGAGCAGCGTGTGACGTGTGGTTCAGGCCGCATATGGAGCCCCGAACAGGCAAATCAATCGATAGCTGACGAATCGACGATCGAAAACGTTGCCAACGTTTTCAATCTTCGATTTTAATCAACTAAAATCGATTAACTGTTGCAGCTCTAGTAAAGTCACAGCCGGGATCTGGTGAAGGGCAGGACCTGCCAGAGAGAACAGGGCTCTAGAAAAGGCTTCCGATCGCTAATCACTGTGGTTTTGAAGACTGATGCATGCTCCGCCGCTATAGTAAGCCCCTTGTTAAAGTGGGCCTTTACCCCCTTTCACTAAAACTCACATCAGCATGCAGCTCTGCATGCTGATTTAAAATCTTACAATTAGGGATGCACCGATACTTTGAGTACCAATGCTTGACATTTTCATGAGAACTAAGAGGGTTGCAGCGGTTGCTGCTGGGACCTGGCTCTGGCGCTCCACCACTGTCCTGAAACCAGTAGTCTGTATTGTTTTAGAAAAACTTTCACATGACACTAAACAGACATGTATCAGTGCTCGTACTTGTAAGTACTTGGGAATGTATCAGTACTTGTACTCGCAAAACTGGTATCGGTGCATCCCTTATATATGTTTATAAAAACAATGTCATACATTAAAACAGAGATGTACAAATCCCAGGAGCTCCGTGTGCTCCTTACAAATGACAGCTGCCTCCTAACTTTTGAATTTTTCTCTAGTCTAGTCTTGGAGCTGGAAAAGTATCTGTACTTGTACCGAGTACTGTACTTGGTATTGGTGGATCCCTACTTACAATCATTAAACATTATTTTTATTTACTTACAAATAGAGTTCATCTACCTCCTGGTCCACTTCTGCCACAAATGATGTAATGATCCAAGGATGCAATACTTTAGCACACTACATCAGCAGAGCATTACTGGGAAATCTCATCTGATCTCAGGAAAAGGCATTTTCCTCCCCTGAGATGATGTATACAGTCACATGTCCTAGAATGCCAGGAAGTAAATGGAGATCTAGTAACATATCCTTAGTTAACATGGCCACTGTCAGAAGACTGGGAAAGAAAAGAAATAAAGGTATGCAAAGAATCTAAAGCCTCCAATTATCTGTTTGTGGATCGTCATTACTAAATATTTGTAAAGGTGTCTTATTTTAAAGACATGGGTAACGGTCCACTTTAAGACAGGAAATGGCTAGATTTACAGTGTGAACAAACCACTTTTGCACAAAATCCTCACCAAACAGATACAGGGTTAATAAGCACTTGGGGGAGCAAATGTCTTATCTTAGGAGGTTTTCCAATCACGAAAAAAAAAAAAATGGTTGGAAAACTAAAGACAAAGAAAAAGTGTTTGCATACTTTTGTTTTTCCTTAATGACAGCACTGTTTGAAACTTCCCATAGTTCAGGGCTACTGAGGTCCAGTGAGTAAAATTTTCATCGAACCAAGGTTCGAATCGCGGTCCTGGATTGTATTGCAATGTCTTCCTTATATTGTAAAGTGCTGCGCAAACTGCTGGCACTATATAAATCCTGTATAATAATAATATTAATATCTATACCTTTTGTATGGAAATTCTTCTACTCTGCTTTTGAGTCCTTAAATGTAATAAAAGGTATCACCCTTTCACCAGTTGACAACAGCAGGAGGGTGCAACTGCCCAACTAAATAAAGATATTAGGAGCTTATAGCACAAGGAGCCTTAGAGAGGTGGGGTTTGATTTTCTTTATTGCTGCTAGAAGATACGTTTCTAAGTAGAATTCAGATTTTGCATTTTATTTTGGCTCTTTCCATGTAGACATCTTTGTTTTTGCTAAACCTAATTTGCATATGGTATAAATCTACTCTTATGTCAATGCAATAACATAGAAAACCACACCTAACATGAATACATTTTCGTTAACATTCAGTCACCAAATGGTAAGCAACTTTAATGACGACACATACCTGTTGGGCTGTCTGAGTGATCCCCGTGCTGCAAATGGATACCGTCTACTGAGTTAACTGTAACAGTCTGCAGGTTTGGCAACTGACCAGTACTTAAACTAACTGGAGTACCTTGACCGCCAACTTGGCCAAGTGTAAGCGTTTGCACGGGCGTCAAAGTTATTTGTTGAGGAGACGAATTCTGAATCTGCAAGTTTTGCAAGTTCTGGACTCCTTGAACTTGAAATGTCTGCCAGGCAATCTGACCAGAAGGAGTCACTGTTTGGGCTTGAATAAGGAAAGTTCCTGGGTTAAGCTGAAGCTGAAGATTTTGCAGAGCTTGTGATGATATGCCTTGACCTCCTGCCTGAACAGCTTGGATTGCCTGCTGTGCTATACTTTGCACAAGTTGGGCTTCACTGGTCTGCTGCTGGGTATCTTGAAGGTGGATCTGCTGTACCATGTGTTGCGACGTAGAGCCCTGAATATTATGCGACTCTTCGGAAATAGTACTCTGGATGTAGTTTCCCTGAAGATCGGATGTTTGCAGGTGCCCAGATGGACTGTCACCCATACTATTTGCGCTCTGATGAAGCATTCCTGAACTGTCTATGGTAACAGGAAGCTGAGATGACGAAGAACTTGGCACAAACATATCTGTTTCAGAGTTTGTATCACCATCAGGAGAAACATGCTCTTGCTCTGCAGTCCTTTCAGAAGTATCAGAGTTATCTATGGCTTGCCCTGCACTTATCAAGTGTCCATCAGCTGTAATGCCCGTCATGGCTTCAGAACTGCCAGACAGACCCAATGAATCTAGGTCAACACTGTTAATGGGAACAAAGGTGATGTTACCAGGCAAGCCAAGTGTTTGGCCTCCATATGTAACGCCTTGAATTTGCTGAAGTTGACCAGCTAGATGGCTAGAATGGTTTCCAGGAATTATCTGAATCTGACCAGATTCTTGGTCTAACCCGCCGTTATCAGAAGACGTGGCAAAGCCAAGTTGAACTTGCTGACCATCAGATGTCTGAATCTGTGGTATGACTTGATATTGAACATTAGACAGTGTTCCATTAGCTGTGTCTGACCCCTGTGCTACAGAAAACAGATGTTGATTTTGAAGAGTCTGTAGCACATACTGTCCACTTGAAGTTACTGTAGCACCACTTGGGAGCTGAACGATATTTCCAGCTTCATCTTTTAATGCAGCTTGGGCTGGAGTCAGAACCTCCCATCTATTTGGACCTCCTGATAACTGCACAGATGTCAATTCCTCCGTCTGTAGAGGGAAAAAAAAAAAAGATTCAATATAAAGCAGTTAGAAAAGATTTGTTTTCAAAAAACAAAGGTTAAAAAAAAAAAAAAAAAAAAAAAAAAAAAAAAAAAAAAAAAAAAGGCCTGTTCTGAGGGAAATACGTAGGCCGACCTCCTTGTGGAAATGCTAGATGTCTGGCAGTTAGACTGCTGTTGATACTTGCTCAGTCACTGATCTGGAATTATGCAGCAAATTAATTGATCTGCACACTGTTTCAATGGCAATAAAATAGAAAGTTTGCCAAGAGCATGAGGTGAAATCTCAGGCATCCCCCAAATTTAGGTTTATTGCAGAGGGCCTTTCCTATTATTGGCCAAGGGTGCTAAACATATACAAAACCGATGAATGGAGTGCATTTAGTTGGTTACCAAAAATTCACAAATGTTCTATATGGATCCAATTGACAATGTGTGAACCCTGGGTGAAAGTTGTATGAAAACGTTTAGAAATAGAATCCAATGTGTTTAACCCTTTCACTGCTGACATTAACTGCTGGAAAGGGGCAGTGAAAGGCTTACAACAAACTCACAGCCAACAGTGGTCCCAGGTTTTTTTTTTTTTAATGACAACTGTAGGCTCCTGTATGACAGTATAAACAAGACCAAATCCAGTCACTATGAGATGCACAAACCTAAAATCAGAGAAACCAACATCCGTTACTTTACGTGCCTGAGCCACAATTCTCCTTATTTGTGTCTCATGCTTCCCCTACCAGACTCTGTGGCTTAGAGAATTAGGAGGCAAGTGATTTTCCCTCAACCTCATAATCTGAGCCGACCTGTGACAATGAAACTGTCACAGGTTGGCTCAGTAGATCGGGAAGTGAGCGAACACATACCGTCGCTCGCTCACTTCTCGATCTATCCCTGCAGAGAGCTGTGACTGTCACTCACGGCTCCCTGCGGGGATCCCCGATCCTCCAGCGCTGACTAGCGAAACAGACGGGCACAGCTGGCTCTGCCTCTGGTTAGGGAGAGCCAGCTGTCAATCCCGCAGCTGGGTGGATCCAGAGAGTATTGTCTGGATCCGTCCCCGCTGCGGCGTCTCCGTATACTGAGTTTTGGGTCACGGGAGAACGCTAGTTTGTGTTCTCCGGTGACCCTTAGGAGAACTATGGGGAAAAGCCCTGACCCCATAGTTCTCCTTAAATGGAGCCCTGCTGAATGAACAGGGACTGCAAGAGGATGGTGCCAGGTCAAATGTAGTTACTTCTACTAAAAATACATTTAATTATGCATTCATTATGATAGAACTGCATTCATGTATTCTATCTAGTCAGGTGGCTTTACATAGTCTTGGACAGTAGAGGTAAAATACTGAACCCTACATAAAACCATCTTTTTAGTCCACAAGTCATCCATTCTCACACATAAGCTGACATTTGTGATCTCCACACAAGAGAAAAGTTACAAAGTGCTGAACAGATGATATCGTAGCCCGCATGTTATCCATAAAATGGTACGCTCAAACCTTGACATCTGCTGAAGGTGTGGAGTGGAGAAAGCCACTGTAGGGCATATTTGGTAGCACTGTCCACCGATATTGGCGTTATGGCAAGAGGTCTTCCGTGTTTTCCAACAAGTGATCTCTAATTCAATCACACCCTCACCTAAGATTGCACTCCTCTCGATCCTGCCTGGCTCGCTCCCGCGCTGTAAACGGGGCCTATTACGTTTTTTACTGCTGGCGACCAGAGCAATTATTCCTCATCATTGAAAATCTGCAGTTTGTCCCATAATTACAGAATGGGCCAACAAAATGGCTAATATTGAGCTTATGACACATTTGACAGCACAGACCCATGATAACACCGTACACCATTTTGCCACCTGGACTACATGGCTTCTGTTTACAGAATCAGATAAGTCTATCACTTTTGGGAATTGCAACATTTTAGAGCAGTGAGCTATACATATTACTATTGTTGGACAGCCTGTTGCTGAAACCCTTCCATTGCAAGCTCCCCATCCCAACAGTGTCTAGGAGGGGGAGCATGCGAGGCACAAATGAAGGATGATTTGGCTCAGTCAGGGAAGTTTTTGTTTTTTTTTCTTGAAATTATGAGAATTGCACATTAACTGTATTGGTACTTGTTTAGACTGTCATACACACGCTTTTAATTGTACCTAACTTTAGGAAAGTCTAGTTTTTGGTTTTATTTTACCTGCAATGTCCATGACTAGCTAAAGCCACCTGACCAGGAGCCTTAAAGCTGAACCATAGGCAGATATAAATAACACATTCATACAGATCTACAATACATAATGAAATGTATTTTTATTACAAGTACCTACATTTGACCTGGCACCAGCCTCTTAGCAGTCCTTGTTGGGAGGGTGTGTGAAGGTGTGTGAAAAGATGTGGCAGGAGAAAAAATGGAGAGGACAGGAAGGAAGGGGCAGAGTAATGTGCAAGAGTAACATGGGGAAAATGTGTGTAGAGCCAGGGTTGTGTTGCAGAGTGGAAAGAGGGGGTTTATTGTAAAGTAGGGAAAGCAGTGGATGGCATGTGGCAAGAGTTTTAAAGGGAGGATATCCCAGGGTGGGTGGGGATAGCAGAGTGACGAGAGCTGGAGGAGTGGTGGTGGTGCAGGGCAGAGTGTTATGAGGGCTGCAGAGTGGTGAGGGGAGCAGAGAAGAATGTGAGTGGTGTTGGGGGACAAAGGGTACAGCAGGGTGGCGAGTGAGAGGGGATACACTTCCTAAACCTCTGCCTGCCAACACTTCTGATGCTAGCAACATGGCGGGAGAGAGGTCCGACATAAGTGGTGGCAGGAGTTGATTGGGTGCGCAAGAGTGATTTTTGACTCCTGCACTCCCAAAAAGATCCTCACACATGTGCAAAAATAAAATAGAAAAAAATGTGCCTACATGTGTGCACTCAAGTATCAACATGGGGAATGCAAGAGTTTGTCAGTCCATTACTCCCTAAAGACTGCCACCAATATAGCGGCAAAAATCACACGTGTTGTAGTGTCCAGTCTGTCCTGCCACTACTGTGCATTCACGGGAACTTGTCAGCGTGCTTCTGACATCAGACATATCAAAGCGCGATCCCGCACATCCGCAGTAGCACAGATCAGACACTACTGGACATGCATGGATTTCACCACCATATTGACAGCAACCATTTTGAAGCCCGGTAGTAAAACAAACTCTTACACTCCCAATGCTGACACTTGGCCGCGTACACGTGGGCGATGAACTATATTTACTGTGCATGAGTGAGGTAAAGTCAGACAGGAATGTCAGCATTATTATGCACAATGCATGTCCACCTGCCAAGTTGATAGAGGGAACGCTGATGCCATCTTGGGGAAGTCCATCTTTAAAGGAGTGAAGGAGCTCCCGGGATAAGTGTAGTTGGCAGGAGCCGCTGAGTATAATATCGAGCCTTTGTCCCTATTGAGCTTGTGTAAAGAGGGGAACCTACCAGTCACCTGACCGCAATTAAAAGACAAGGAAAAGGGTATTTAGAGGCATTTTCATATATTATGGCAATGATTTTTGCCATGCCGAGGTTGCAGCAATTAATGTACAAAGACTAAGACTTATCAGATACTTTAAGTAGGTAATGGAACAGATTCCAGATTGCTCACTGCAGAAATGCTGCTTGGTCACCAAACCTAGAAATGATCACAGATGTTATTGTGTTTCAGCTCCCTGTTTCTGGTAACACCTTCCTGCTTAGCCATCACAGCTATTCATCCATTCACCTCTGGTAAAACATCGCCCTTTACCTTTACTTAAATTCATGATCAGCCAGTATTCCTAATCTAAAGAGGATGACTATGTTCATTAACCCTTTCTCAACAATTAGCACTCAGTTGACATATTAGAACATCTGGACAATATGCAGCTCAAGGTTTTTGGGCTAAACATACACTCCTAAGAAGCCATACTTAGAGTTTATTACAGACCATCTGCCTTTCTAAGCTTATTCGCTCCAAGCAACATGCAAAATCAGGGATGGGCAATATGGGAAAAAAAATATATATATAGTTTTCTGGTGTACCGTGTCCTTGAAAGCTGGGGTGTATATAAGAAGGGGGCTAGGAGGTGAGAAGGGGCTCCATCCCCTAGAGTGCCCTGGTGCAGCCAGACGTTTTGCCTTCCTCTGGTTTTTCCACAATGAACTGATTGATGTAGGCAGCCCCAGCAAAGTATCAGAGGCTTGGCCTGTTTTTAATGAACAGGCAAAGCCCTTTGCAGTGGCAGCGTGCATCCAGGCTGCAGTACAAACCGGCATTGCAGCTGGACAGTGGAGGCACAGCACTGGGGTGACAGCAGGGTGTATTGGAGGATGGCCCTGTAACCCCTTATTTCCCAGAAGCCAGGCATCTGGCCAGCTCTTTTATGCAGGTGAAGTGCATGTGTTCTGCTGTGGCTGACATGACAGCTCATATAGTACAGTGTTTTGTAGGTGATCTTATGTACATTTATATTATTCTATACATAGAGCCATACCTTATAGGAGTCATAATGCACTAGGTATAGTCCTGTTTGTAATGTGTAAATGTCAAATACCTATATAGTAATATGCAGGTAGCGTGTAGGGCGGGGTTCACTCTTGGGGTGTTGTGTGTGTGTTCCCTTTGGGTTGGCTGGGTAACCCCATGCATGCAACTGAAAACCAGACACCCCACAGTCAGGGGCCACGGCCTTGGCCTCGTGCAAACACTCCCACACGTGTAGTGCTGCGTACACAGGGCCTCATGGCTTCAACCGCCTCTGCGGTCTTCGGCGCTTCCTCCCCCTTAGGGAGAAAGGCCACCATGAACGGCACCCTGTGTCAGGCATAGCCCCATTGCGCACCTACCCTCCTCAAATGGTTACAGCCACGATACAGTCCAACATCACATTCCGGTAGAACCCCACCTTCTCAGAGGTTGGAGGGAGAAGAACCAGCCCACACAAATAGTATTTTTGTTGGTTTTACTTGAAGGTATAAAACAGAACAAAGTA